TGCACCTGGCAGTCATGAGGGGAAAACAACTTTTTGTGTAACCCTGCTCCAGAGAGATTAAAGTTTGCAGGAGGCACCAAATGTGTGTGTTGCCGAGCCTCTTTTGAAGCGGGTTATGTTATCTAAAGCTTAGCATGCACAGTGTCTCAACCACTGAGGAGATGACAAGGCCTGATAAAGCCAGTGTTTACTACACAAGTAAACACAGGCGATCAATAGCAGAACTCAATACTCCGAACACAGAAAGGCTGCAGAGTTTCACCACCTGGGGTGATGGGGAGGAGGAGACGCTTTCATTAAAAACTTGTCGTAATAAAGTGAAAAAAGGCTTTACAAGCTATACATTTATTTCATCACATCCCCACCTAAACAGGAAGGATAGAAACAAACATTGTAAGTCCACCCATGCCCCTTTTTATCAGTTGTAATGACCTGTGATCACAAGAGAGATAGTGGCATGATATCCTGTCGACACATACAAACCACACCGGTTACTCTAACTAACAGAAGCCAGACTTAACCAGCCCAAAATGGTAACAACACAACATACAGTAGTATATTTGTGCACAGCTGAATACAAGTTGTTGATCTACTCTCCCAAAAAGAGGTATTTTTGTTCTTGTTGACATTGTCTGACTGGAAAAACAGACAACATAAAAAGACCACAGCACAACTGCCAAACTGAGGACTGATGGCAGGATTTCACATTGTGAATACAAACAGTGAAAGATTGAGACAAAACATGGGTTGCTAATCTTTTGACAGATTGATAGAAGTACACAAATTGATGGCTTTAAATTTGACACCATTGGAGGGTTAGTCAAACAAGGGTCACTTGTTCAAGCTCGATGAGGGTTAACATATGATGATGCAAGCATAGTGCAAATAATCACGTTGCAATACAACCAAACTGCAACCTCAGAAACACATTTGGAGGGAAATGTATTTTTTCTCTGATTATTGTCGCAGTTTTAAACACGCAGTTTAGGTTGTGAATTAAAACATTTGTTCCGGTTTAAGCAAGAAACACTACTTGATCAGGTTTAGTGATGAAAAATCATGGTCCAAATCACGTAAGTTGAGTATGTTTTGTAAGTTACGTACGTGATGTAAATTAAGTAAATGTTCATGTTAAATAAGTCAACGTTGACTCAGTTTCACTCCGGACACAAACTGCTGTGTTTTGAGTGTAAGACCTGTGTTTGTCCCATAAATGACGTGATACGTTTAAAGTCTTGTGTTTGTTTGACCCATCCATCTTCCCAAACTGCCTCCCCTACTCCGACGTGCACAGACTTTGATAAGAATCGTCTATTTGCAATATGTTGAAAACAAATGTAACCCGGGAGGAATTGCTTTTCCCTTCAAATTGTTATTGACGGTGAGTTTTCGTTGTATGGTAACCTATTTTTTTAGGCCTGGCTGGTCAGGGCCTCTTAAAACAAAACAAGTATTCCCCCGGCTCTTGAGATGTTCTACAGGCTCTTTTCTTCCCAGGAAAGTTCTGATGAACTAAAGAGCAGATCGCGTTCACACCGGAATAAGTCCCTGGGGGAGGATTAGTCAAATGAAGCCGCTGACGTCACTTCTTCTTCTTCTGCTTTGGGTTTACTGGCAGGCCGCAAACAACTTCACGGCGTATACTGCCGCCCAAAGTCCCCGGCCGGAAGTCCCCGGAGTTGGGGACTGGCTTCAGTAGAAGCTGCTGGGACTCCCAGCAGCTTCTACTGAAGCCTTCCGAGTAAATCGCCAGAACGCCGACACCTCCTCATCACTCCACCGCTCCCATGTTTTATTTTGTGTTGCCATAAGTTAGTCTCTCTCCGTTTGTGCGCTGGGCTAATGCTAATGCTAATAATGCTAATGCGAGGATAATAAAATGGCGGCTTCACAAAACTTTTTGGGAGTTTTACAGGGCGTGGTTTGCAATCCGCCCAGCCAATCAGAAATGGGAACCTTTTTCTCCCATGAAAGTACCTGCTCTCTAGCAGGGACTGAAAAGGGGGTGGAAAGGTTCTCATGAACTAAGTTCTAGTTCCAGATTTTTTTGGTGTGAACGCACATTTTCGGAACTATATCGGAACTATATCGGAACTATACTTGGAAAAGTACTCCGGTGTGAAAGCGCCTTTTGTAGATCTCCAGGATGCAGGACGTGTCGACTCTGTACAAGACAGGGTTTTACAGAGAGACCTTGTGCTCATCAGATTATCCATAGAAAAGTATAGGAGAAGGAATCTAGCTTAGCTTCGTTTAACCATAATAAATATACAAAATACATACAATGGGGCAAAAACAGCCATCAGGGTAAGGCAATGCAGGCAGGGTACAGGAGTAGAGGAAGTACAGTAGACCTGATATTACTTCAAAAGCTAAACAAAAACAATCAAACAACAAATTAAGCTTAATTTTTTTGTATAGGACTTTGTGGTTACACTTCCCAGGTGAGCCTCTGTATGTGTGCAGGGGCGCCGTAAGGGGGTGAAAAGTTAGGACAATTCTAAGGGCCCGTGACTGACAGGGTCCCAAATAATTTTAGAACATTAAGAAAAGTAACCAATGTGATTATCTTTTCATGGGGCCCAAAATCCCTGGCGGCGCCCCTGTATGTGTGCTGTTCATGATCCTAGCTTATGTTACTGATCTGAGAAAACTTGAAATCACAAGATGTAGTGCCTGATCCATCACTAAATCCTAACATGATGCGTAAAATGTTTCCTTTTTCAGCGCTGATGGTGATTAAGCTGTGATCACTACTGACTAAATATTTCTTAATTGGTGAGTATGGTAGCACCCTAGCTTCACTTGAAGTATCCTGCCACCCCATTTACAGGCCTCAGCCCACTTTAGTTTTGGTTTCTCTTCATCATATTCATAGACTTTTAAATATTAGATTTGAAATACATATGTTTAAAACTCATTTTGTAATAACTAACTAACTAGCCATTTTATTTTGCGGCAACCATTTCCTGAGTATTTTGAAACACTTATCTGTCCCTCCCTCAACAAACCTGTGTGTCTTGATAACTTGTGAAATGAGGGGTTTTGATCAAAAGTAAAGCATTGCCTTGTTTCAGTTCTTTGTCTCCTTTAAACATCTAATTTAATATAATGATATTTCGATCCGCCACATTAGCTTAGCATTTCAAGCTAGCATTAACTCACTATTTAAGGTTTTTATAAATAACTTTTAACCAATTTGAACCATTTCAACTATCCTTTATTCTGGGTAAACTATGTCATATGTTCTGTTCCCTTACAAACTAGCTAGGTACTGAGGGAGTTAACAACACACACGAATATGTTTGTACCTTTTCTAAATTCAGTGCTTGACATAAGTGTTTGCATTTGAGTTTACCTTCGGTGCCTGAGATTTGAAGAACACACACTGAAGGAGTGCATTAGGACTGTGCTGCTTCAAAGTGAAGGACACTCATGGATATAATTAATTCTAGAGGAAAGAGCATGCCGTTTTCCAACAGGTCTGTGCCAAGAAAAAGCGGGCATTTGCTGAGAAACAAATTATTTTCAACACAGACACAGAAATAATTTGGCCCAGTTGTCATGTTCTTTAGACGGGGTTCAATGGAAGGTGGCTTCAAAAGGTGGATTGGGTTTTGAGTCTCTGGACTGAAGTGCAATTATTCATTCATGGCCTCTACACTTCAACCCCTTCACATCTCGTCTTTTGATTTGCTGCAGTTGCCATGTACTTTGGGACAAATGGATTCTTCAAATGGCGCTAATGCTATACAGATGTCATCATACATGGTCGCACAAAGCTAATGGAGCCGGGATACTTTTCAGCCTGAGCTGCAGTTTAATGTGATCCTGTATTCAGATGAAATTGTACTCAAAGGTCACTGCATGATACTTTAATGGCCTGTGGGTAGTTTTTTGTGCATGTGATTATCCTGCTGTTTCATTGTATCGCGTGTAAAATGCACGACTGGTTAGATTATAGCATTAATTATGCATGTTACCGCTTTCATCATAGTGGACATTGTGGTGAGATTTGCTGATGTGTATTCTATTGTTTTCAACTAGAAGACAATGGTGCACCCAATACAATTTTTATTTTTAATGAGCAGAACCCAGAACACATTAAAGTGATAGTGCTCGTATTTTTTTTAAATGAATGATCGATCATCTCCAAATTACAGACACCACAAACAATATTTCAGAAGGAAAAATGTGTTACTCAAAAAAACGTTTAAGTTATTTAAATCGACTGGTATGAATTGTAAGTTTCAAGTAATTTATAACTGAATTGTGTAACAAATGTCTCATTAAAATACAATTTACTTTTTGAGATTGTTCTGGCCATTTTTAAACTTGATGATAAGCAAAAGGAAGCACATTAATCAATAATTGGTGGTTTTATATCCAATTACAAACCTCTTATAGCTATTATGAGGTAAAATCTTATTCCACAACATCGGACAACATTACACATATTCTGCCTTTCTCACTTTTTTTCTTATATATTTCCCCATATTTCAGCCTCACATGTTTAGTCTTTGGAAACTTTGGGGGGCGCTTGTTAGATGCTGTGGTGGACATTTGGTCGTCAAGACAATTTTGGGCATGCACTTAGTCAGCATTAAATGAGAAAAAATGTCACCGTTTGGGAACTATATGGCAGAGTTTGCTAACAAGAGATAAACTCAATCATTAAAAACAAAATATCTAGAAATGTAACTCATCAACAAATCCCAAAGGTTTGTGTTTAGAGAGGCTCAAAGATTTAGGAAACCCTGCAGTAATACCATGTACCACCCCCCATCGAACCTACCACAATCCCCCCCCTCACCCATGCCCCGCCGCCCTCTCCTGCCTTTGTTCTCATCACAACAAGCCCGGAGCAGATGGTGCTCTGCTTTGCTTTGGCCCGCAGTGACAGACAGCTGCTCTCAGCCAATCGCCTGCCGGAGAATCAGCTGACTGGTCTGCACAGCGCCAGGTGTTTTTATCATTGTTCGTCTCCCATCCATAGGAGCAGCAGCAGCGGAGGAATATCGGGGAGACACACCGGTTGTCTGTTGGGTTGCAGCAGGTTGGAGATCTCCGTGCACCATGCCTCCCTCCGAGGCGCCCTGTGACTGATCTGGATACACGCGCTGCAGACAGCTGAACCCCAATGGGATACAGGAATATGTGTACTCGTGCTGTTTGAGAAGCCACAATAACATTGATCGTATTGACGCGTGGTTCTGGATAAAGGAGCTGTGCGCATGGGAACATCGGACTGGAATGCCAACAAGGTGAGAGTCCTCAGGGAAGGAGAGGCAGGGTTTCCTCTGCTGGTAGTTTTTTTATTAAATGCATGGAAAAATATGTTAAGTGTTGTGGTTGGCAGCCGTGTCGTATACAATCCTCAATTTTGGTAGCTCATATTTGTTGTTTTCATGTTTAAAACCATCATTATCCCTGCAAGGCAATGAGTTGGGATGCATTTAGGATGCAGACGCACTCAAGGGCATAATCATTTTTTGTACATAAAAACAGTCGGGCTTGATCATTTCAGACTTAAAATCTGTTTTAAATCTACATTAGAACATTTTAACCTAACAGCATATGTGATCAAACCCATCAACCCGTTAACTATGCGTCAAATCATATTCCACATGAAAACAAACTTTGATCTCGTTGCGGTACTTGCCGCGCCAGCACGAGCCGAGTGCAGCGCGACGTTGTGTAAATGTGATTTGCATATTAATGTTTAAGTACGTCGGCAGATGTCTCGATTCCTCCGCTCTATAAGCAACAAAAAAAGTCTTGACACAGTCAAGGCCCTCGGTGGAGGAGATGCTATGGTGAGAATGGGGTTGCATTGGCAGGGGGTCCATTGTGGCTCACCGACGCTGCTTCTGTCTGTCGCTGCAGCTGTTGCGCTTTTGTGATGGCTGACTGGCATCACTCAACTTTAGCCACAGGGACACACTGTAGAAAATGTTAGGGTACTAAAAGCGGTTTATTTTTAATGTGCTCTGTTTCTCTGTATTATGACCTCTCATAACAACAAAGTGCTGAGAGTCCTCTTTTCTCTGTGGACTCCTGGGTCAAATAAAACACTCACAGAAATAATGAGCATAACATCTATTAGTCTGTTAAACAGGACAAGAAAACAGCTTGTCTCATTGTGTTTGAAGGTGTGAGGATACGACGATTAATCGATTGTTTGAATATTGCCTGCTTTTTTATTAATCAATTAATGGGTGACGTTAGTTTTAATGCAAAAGTGGCAGAAAATACTGTTTTTCAGCTTCTAAAATGTGGATAATTCCTGTTTGTCTCCGTTTTTTTTCATTTAGCTTCTTGTTTTGTTCAGACAAAACAAGCCATTTAAAGACATCCAAGCCTACTTAGACTTTGAGGAACTAGATAGACCAAATAATTACTATACCAAACCAGAATTATAATCAGAAGTCTATAATGAAAGTATTCTTTATTTGCAGCCCTATTTATGTGCAGTTGCGTCTTAGTTTTGTCCTTTTTAGAGGTGAAGCCAATCTGCTGTTATCGCCTGAACCTGTCAAACATTTTGAAGCTCGCAGGAAATCATCTTTAAAATGAATGATCAGGAGGGGGCAGATCACCTGATTCTCTTTTTTTTTGTTCCCCCAAGGGGGCATCCTGTCTTACATAGACAAAGTACACACACACACACACACACACACACACACACACACACACACAGACACACACACACACACACACACACACACACACACACACACACACACACAGCATACACAAACACACACTCAAGATGTCTTTTTTCTTTTCAACTTGTTCATGAAGCTATGGTGTGACAAAAGGGTGTGTGTGTTGTAGGCAGGTGTGTGTGTGTGTGTGTGTGTGTGTGTGTGTGTGTGTGTGTGTGTGTGTGTGTGTGTGTGTGTGTGTGTGTGTGTGTGTGTGTGTGTGTGTGTGTGTGTGTGTGTGTGTGTGTGTGTGTGTGTGTGTGTGTGTGTGTGTGTGGTGTGTGTGTGTGTGTGTGTGTGTGTGTGTGTGTGTGTGTGTGTGTGTGTGTGTGTGTGTGTGTGTGTGTGTGTGTGTGTGCAGGCTTTTTAGGAGACAGCAGGGCTCATGGGAGGGGGTAAAGGGCTTCAACCCCCACCACCAACATGATGTCCCCAGGGTATAAGGCAGGGTGAGGAGGGGGTGCAGGGTTATTGAGCCTTCACTATTATTCCTATAAGAAGGGCTGAGGAATTAGCTCTTTGTCCTCTTAGATCTGCAGGTCTCACGCAGGGACAACCCCCCCATATTCACATATGGAGGAAATCCAGAGGAGTGTAAGCAGGCACATCTCTCTTCAAATATTGATCTACTTGTCATTATGTGGGTTACTTAACATATTGTTTGCATGTGTCGGGGGAAGCTATCCATATAGTTTTACTGAACACACTCTTTCCTCTCTGTTGTGCTCAGGATGGGCGACAGCAGATCCACAGGAAACCTGCCACAAGCATCGTGTAAAATTATATGGGCTCATTTTTCAACTTCTGCTTATTGAGAATCCTGCGAGGATGTAGAGTGTGTTATATTAAACCCTCAGAGGGAGGGAATGGAGAGAGAATTAGAGGCAGGAGGGAAAGAATCAACCCATTGTTGGCACATTGGAGTCCCAAATCTCTTATCATCCTAGGAAAAATATACGGTTTCCATCACTATAGTCTCCAAGGGTGCAGTTATTATTTGGCTTGAATCTGCTTGATTCGAGCTTCCCAGGAGGGTGTAATATGAGCTTTGTTCTATTTAGGTAAAAGTTTTAATGTTTTAAAGTAGGGTTGTACGAGGTACCTATAATCAGTGTGTACCTTCAGTAAACGGTGGTCAGCATGCCCCCAGTTCAGAGACACAGATAAGAGAACCAAGCAAAGTAATGCTTTCAACAGAGGCTACAAAACATATTTTATCCACCTAAAAGAAAGGACAGCTCTGAAAAATCAAGCTCATAACAGTTTATCTAACCAACTGAGGCAGCAACATTTCTGTTCTCTGCAATGTCAAAATGTTAAATAAGCTGTTTTATTAAATGGAGTCTGGTGGCTTTTGCGACATCAGAGATAGCTGCTTCAGTTTATTGTGAAAAAGTGTTGTCTGATGGCAATGTAAACCTGTAGAGATGTTAGAAATAGCGTACACTTAAACTGATATAGATCTTTTGTTAGGATGCTAAAATGCGATTTGATGCTGTCCCCGCAATGAACCTCATACAAACCCTCTTCAAATCCAAACTCTAAGATGGAGACGGATAAGGAAAGGTTGACAGTTGAGTTCTCACTTTATATATTAGGTGTGTTTTCCTCTGATTTAGTCTTCTTGTCACAGTACCAGTTTGTTCTCTATTTAACATATTCCCCCTTGTTGAGTTTCTTTGTCACTCAGGTTCTCTCATCTGATTCCGAAGTTTTTTTTGTCACCTCCATTTTGTTGGCTTTGTGACACGATGTGTTTATAGGCTCCCCAAGGTTGTTTATCTCACTTTGTCGCACCTGTCATTTGTTTTCCCTCATTTCTGTGTTGAGAAAACTAATGTCAAAAGTTAGACCTTGGCAAGAGAGGTTATATGTGTGAGTGTTTCCCTAATGCAAGACTCTTGTTATCCAGTGGAAATCACATTTTTCTCATGTCCCTCTCAATTCTTATCGCATTCAAGGGAGGATTTCCTTCACAATGAGCGTCCTAAGGCTGACTCAGACAGGAATTTGTAATCTAGTGTGGACACAATCGAACAGACTGACACTTTATCTGTAAAAGGCGTTCACATATTCTGTTAACCTAAGCTAACCTAACCCTCACATATGCATCTGGATCATTCAACCCTAAGTATTCATCACATACATGTTTCTACAGTTTCTGTGATGAGTACTTAGTAGAGATGTCCCGATCCGATCACGTGATCGGGGATCGGAGCCGATCACGTGATTTTCAAAAGATCGGAATCGGGAGAAAAAAATCGGGGATCGGGAATCTTTTTTTTTTTTATAAAATATTTTTATTATTTTATTTAATGTTACAAAACAAAAATGACCATGTTCACATCTTAAAGTCATCCTGAGGCCTTAGTTTTGGTTTAAAATTACACAACATCATGTATGTGTTGCTTCTTTTGGGCTTGTTTTCATAGACCTGGTTGCTTATTTCTCTCAAATCTGGCAACAGAGTGGGCAGGGCGCAGTGTCTAATAGTAGCAGTAAGCTAACAAGAGGCTACGTTCAGCTGGTGACTCGGGAGTCGGGACAGAGAAAATGTCAAGAGTTTGGAAGTATTATAAAATTGAAAGCGAAGGCAGTGTAACAGCCAGATGCAATGTTTGCAAGGTGGAGGTTCCGCGTGGTGGAAAGAACAGAGCTACGTTCAACACGACCAATCTAATACAAACCCCAACAACAACACGACGAGTACACAGCGGCCACTCAGGTAACGGCACTGAAACAACCGACACTTTCAGAGACTTTTAAAAGGAAAGATAAACTGCCCCAGAACAGTGAAAAGGCCAAAAAAATAACAGCCAAGATAGCTGAATTCATCGCGTTGGATGACCAGCCGTTATCTTTTAACTTTTTTTTTCTCTTAATGCATTGCATAAAGATCGGATCGGGAAAAATCGGTATCGGCAGATTGTCAAAATCAAATGATTGGAATCGGATCGGGAGCAAAAAAAGGTGATCGGGACATCCCTAGTACTTAGGGTTTCCAAACTCTCTTCTTCTGGTAACAATTCAAATTCTGAGCACTTAGTTTGAATGAGCTGTAATTGTCATTATCAAGCATTGGCACAACATCAATTCATTTCAGTTTTTTGGCGAAAAACTAGACTCAACTGCTTGATGCTGGCAAGTAATAAGAACGTTGTTACTGTACCACCCACAGAGGCATGTGGATATTTTTAGGCAAAGTCTTTCGGAAGTGACATCTTTCCAATTAAAAATTTGGATCAATGCAAGTGACAGTTTCCCAACTGGAAATGACAGGGATCATTGTCTTTAATGAGATGCAATGAAAGTGAGCTTTTCCATGGCTGTCAGGTGTGTTCAGAGTGGAAATAGCAGCCTTCTGTACATAATTCATTTGACTTTCGCTACTTGGGCCATGAAAAGTTCCCAGCTTTGAGGGTAGCCCATCGAGTTAGGATTCACTGTAGTTACTAGTAATAATGTCCAATTACTCAAAATAACCAAATAACACAAACTCTTAAGTCTAAAATGTCTGCAGTCTGACAACTTTAATTTAGGGAGATCTTACCACATTG